AAAAAACCAGAAAATGTTTATTTCCAGAATATGTGATTCTAGAAGCTTATGTCACATTTATAAAAAAAGTGAAATTATAACTAAGTCTTCTTTTGTTATTATCTCGTGCAATGTGTGTCGCTTTTGTGCCTTCGGCCAAAGAATTTGAATAGAAATCGCATGGTCCTGCGTGCACGGTAGTATTTAAATAAGCCAAAAGTGGTCGAGTCGCATTGAAAATACAAGCAAATTTCGACGAAGAATGATTTCAGATGCGATGCTTGTGAGCAGCAACAACAAAATCGTCAACAGTAACCGAGAGCAGCAGTCGCGGCAAAGCAACAAAAAACCATCGTCGACCTTGCATGGGTCCTTAACACGATTTTTTCCCGTTTCAATCTGTACTATTGAAAATGCAAACGACCGTCTCTGTTTATTGTGGCATATTTTATACACACTTTCGCATCCGAATTTTTCGTATATTGTGTACATGCGATTTGATTGTTGTGTGTGAGTAAGCACCGTTTACATGATTTCAATTTTTTTTTCGTTGTTACTTCTGCTTTTCGTTTTTATTCTTTCTCACTCTCGCTTGTATCTTGGACATTCATGTTATTTATTTCTTTTTCAGTTGCGTTGCCATTCTCATTTCTTCTTCACTTTTGATGATCGAGTGTTCTTCTTTCAATTTGAAACGCTTTCAATTCGATTTTGTGTGTCTCTCTGGTTGGCTTTTTTTCCGCCAATTTTTATGAAATCAAAAGCGGAACTATTGAACTGAAAGTGATCGAAAGTATTTGGCGAAATTGATTTGCGAAAACTCCACATTGGATGAAATGGAATAAAAAACACATTAAATCACTTCTCATCAATTTGCAAAATTGTTTGATATCACAGCAATTCAATGGTATGTTTTTATTATTATTGATGGGTGCCCCCACCCAAAGTACAATAAACAACACTTTCGGAATCGTAATTGAAAATGACTTAATCGAAAAATGGTTAATTGCAATTCAAATTGTGTTGAGCTTGCTGAGTCCCACTTTCAAGGCAAAACAATCACGATGACAAACAAAAACAAAATTGCCAAATTCGATGTTTGCGCTCTCCGACTATTGAACCGATATTGCAAAACACTTTACTTGAAATTCGCAAAATATTGATCGGATCAAATGGTATTTCAATGTGGATTTCTTTTCAGATTTCATTTTTATTGCGTTCATTTTTTTGAAGTTGATCTATGAAAACGGCACGATTTTGCAATGAGAGATAGAAAAAATATACTATTTAATAATTTTTCATGAGAAAAATGTTATGTATGCGTGCGCGTGCAGCAGATTAAAACGCACCAGACGTACAACAACAGGTGAGCCGTTATGAACGTACGGCTTTTCTCATTATTCTGAATATGAATTAATATTAATATTCAATAAATGTCGAACGAAATAATTTTGAGTTACATTATAACAATGTTGCAAACCATAAGCGCCTGCTTTAGTTTTATTAGAAGCCTCATAAATGCCACTTTATTTTCAGTATCGTCCCACTTTAACAGCAACGAATTTATTCGAAACAAATGTATTGTTATGTCGAACGAATAAAACAAAAGTCAGTGAATGAAAACAATTTCAACGAAAACAGAAAAAAGAACAGCATAAATTCAATTTATTTGATCGTAGCGGAATTAATAAATGAATGAAAAAAAAATGACAGAACTATTAGCGTCATAACATATAACGAAATTCGATAATGTTTAGAATAAATCAAATTCTGCAAATGCAAATGATCATTTCACTGCAAAAACGAAGAGAGAAAGAGACAAACACGAAACATTTTTTATAAATTAGAATCATTAAATTGTGTTACACAAGCAATATTTTTTGTTCAGAGTGTGTTGTGTGATATTTGTCGGTCGCTGAATCGCATACAAATGTTCATTTAGTTCAAAATTTTAGCACGAGTTGCGCCACATGATGGACCCACAATAATGTAATACACAATAATTGTATTCGAAAACGACGACAAAATGCCAAAATGTAAATAATTTCATTGCGAGTGCACGCGCGTTCGGTCGAATCACAGCGCAAAGGCGCATACTGCTACTCACTGTTGCTGCTGCCAATGCATGGCTAAAGCTGAATCCGCGATATACAAACGCAATTTCGTAAACATTTTTCGGTTTGTAGCGAACGAACGTCGATACACGTCGACAAATCATATTCGCATACATTAAAAAAAAACAACTACCGACAGAGTGAGCGAGAAAAAGATTCACGCTCACACAAGCAATGGGCCAGTGGAATATAACACACAACAACACAAAAAACAGTCGAACTTCGAGAGAAAAAAGCAACACAAAACCCGTAGCACACACAAAGCACCGAAAGACAACAAAGCAAATGAAAAACACACATTTATTTATGGGTAATTATTTTGTTTTATGTGAACAAGCCCTGAACACAGAACAAAACCAACGATTCAGTTGACGATATATTCAACACATGCTATTCAAATTAGATTCTCTCAAATCCACGAAGGAATGGAGACTCAAAGAAAGGAAAAAAAGAACAATTCAAATCGCTTTCGGTTCACTATTCATTTGGAATTGATTCGCATTGGATTTGCGAATCAATTTACCTTTTGGCCAGTATCTCATTTAATTTCCGTAGCGTCCAATTGAACGCTACACATCAAACGCACAAAACATGGATATATTATGGAATATCCCCATAAATACATTACCAATTGACGACGCATATATATATACCATCAATCCATACTTCAGCTAATTTGTACCCCCTTTGTTTTATTTTCGCCACACATTTTTCAACTGGCTTGAAGGTAATACTTCAAAAGCACAAGTAATGACAGCCACAACAACAGCAGAAGCTATATAATAACAACAACGTCAGAGAAAAAAAAATGACTGAGAGCAGAAAAAAAAGAACGAAAATTATACCATGTGTTCTTGTGCAAATCTAGGTTTTGGGCACAAGTAAATAGTCGAATTAAAATTTATCTTTCAGATTGTTGAAACAAACAAACAATGGAAAAAATATGATATTTTCATCGAACGAAGTAGAAACAAAAACAAGCGCTTCCTTTTGAAATGGGCATTAGCGAATATGGCATTCAATCGATGAGAACGAAAAAAAGCTAGAACAATCAAATCGAGAGGGAGTCATAAATTGACCGTTTCGCTATAATTTCCGCACTTCAGCACTCGAATTTTGATTTGCGCATTTTCTTTTGACTTCATTCCTCCTTATTCATACAAAAAGGGAAGGAATTCTACTGGTAATTGGAACAAATAGATTTTTTTTTAATTAGTAAAAAAATGACTATGTAGAATTTGCAGTTTTTTTTAATATAATATCTTCATTGACAGATGCAAAGAGAGAATTTCATATGATTTTTTATTGAATTTAAGTACTGTGAATCTGGTTTGAGACTAAATTATCGTCACCGAAGCGGCATTTGGTTGCAAACTTTTTATTTCAAAATTTGTAATTCAATTTTGATACATGCTTCTTAGTGGTTGTTAAAAGCGTTAAAGCGTTAAATGCTGTCTTATGTTAAATAATTTTTTTTTCGCTTGGCATAAATATTGTGACAACTTAGGTTCATTGCAAGTACAAACTGATGAACAAAGTACATCTTATGAAAATGTAAAGTTTTCAGAAGGAAAACATGTCGGCGTGCACTCGAACAATTGTCTCGCGCTCTTTATCTGTCTCTTTCAAAATAAATAACCGTTTTGCCTTGGCCATAGCAATAGCAATGGAAGCGATGGGACGGCTATGCTCTTTCAATGTAAGCCATTTGATTCAATTTCAAAAATTATTTTTTATTCCATTAATGTTATGTTGTCTGTGAAATAAGTTCAGGTGCTTCATAAAGTTACTTGTTCAAAAGTTATGCGACAGTAGATTGAGCGAAATGAATTTGGCTGTTGTTGTTTTACTTTTATTTTGTCATTCTGTTATGTTATTTGTTCAAGCTGTATCCACATAAAATGCGTCACACAAAATCAATGCACACACATTCTAAATCAAACCTCACTCATACATAATTCTGACAGCAAGAAACGGGGGGAATAAAAACAAAATCAATTTAATAAAAATGAAATACACACAGGAAATACAAGAATAAATAAGAACTGAGTTTCTTTATTTACTTTTGTATGACTTCGGTATCACAATAATCAGTAATTATTATATAATTAAATCCAAATGGTGTAATAATGAATATATACACCATTTTATGATGAGTTTTTTTTCTCGTTCGTTTTAAATTTTCTTGTTTGCGTGAGCAATTGAGTAAATGAGCCGAGTATGTGATGTACAAGAAGAGCTACACACATTTTTATCTATTGATATCCACAATTTTTTGTCAGATGATTTGGTTAACAAAACAAAACAGCCGCCATAATAAATCGTCATTGGCATTCGTCAGATTGCTTCGGTATGCGTGGCTGAAAGAAGCGCTTTGATGCCACGGGAATGAAAGAGACGAAACGAAGCGATCACGGTCTTGACGCATTCGCACATACATACATATATATACACGTACGCATGCAGCAAACACACATGCGAAAAAGTCGCGTGTGACAGTTAGACGATGTTTTTGCTGCGATTCAATAAAAAAAAAAATCTCTGTGTATGCGGTATGTAATCGCGATACACATACACGGATACCTACATATTACGCGCGCAACGTAACCAATACATAAAACGCATGCCGTAAACGATGTACGATGTCATAACAACGTATTTACGTCGAGAAAAAAACTTGCACTCACATTTGCTGTCTATCTGCTTCGTTACTTCGATTCTACGTCTTTGCTATGGGCTTATTTTGGTTGTTGCCTTCAACAACACTTTTGAAATCACGGAAAATTTATCATCTGATCGTTTTTATGTTATTGCACGCAAATTTTGGAGTTTTATAAATCTGTTATGATGAATGACTCTTTTCCAAATATATTTCTTGGTCAAGATGATGAATGCTTTGGAACTTACCTTAATTTTTATTTATCATATCCTGGTTGAAGAAAAATTTGTTGAATATCGCCACTGGTGCCGCTATTGTATACGTTCCAAAGGCGAGATATTGAGACAAAGCTCTGAATTATTGCTTTATTTCACGTACACACGGTTTTTCTTATGTTGCTTTTTGTTTGATATTTTTGCTGCAGGTATCCAACGATTTGTGTAATTCGTTTTTTGGTCGGTTTCAGGTTTTCAATCGTGAGGTAGCTTTGACAGAGTACAATTTTGATTGGTCGTTTCCAAAGCAGTCCAAATTCTTTTTTTTAATATTCAAAACTAAAAAAATCACACCCAAAGTAGTTGAAAAGTTCTTAACTTTTTAGATCAGCTCACAAAAAGCACAAGAGATAAACATTGAAGTCCTGGGCTTGAATAACTGTCTGTTTGAAATCAATACACAAATTATACACACATTTGGCGCGAATGTATGAGTGTCGAACTTAATTGGTTTAAGCAATTCAAAAAATTGTTCATGGCAAATTAAAAATTTATAATCGATTTTGAAATTCAAGTTTTCTATGCATGAAATAATCAAGTGTATTTTTTTAGTCAAGTTTTCTACTTCTTCTTACATTCATTAATTATGCTCCACTTTGTCACATGCTCGACGTTATTCGATTTGTGTCATAGTAAGTGTTTGGCGCAAAATCTTGTTTCTAATTTTCTTTTTTCATGAATGTGTTTTTTTTCAGTTCACTGTTATTATTAAATTAGTCGAAGCAAGTAAAAAGAATGTTCAGTGGCACTGATATATCCAGACATGCACTAAACATACATATGCAATCGCATTCACTCAAAGTCAATGTTGATGTGAAACAAAAATCAAATGCAACACACATTTAATACAGCAAACGCAATAATAAACACTTTTTCGCTCACAAATAGAATTTTGTTGTTCGACATGCACAATATGAAATTGATTTTGGGTTTTTTTCCGATCGATTCTTCTTTTGTTTTGTATTGGATTCCCACTCGGGTAAATTTCTCACTTGAATCACCAATTGAGATTTTTTACACAATTATTTTTGTCTCATCGACTTTAATAAACAACAATTAAATGAAAAATAGCTGCGATTTCACATTTAATATCCAATTAGTTTGGTTCAATCGAAATTTGGACTGTAAGTAAATTTTCAATGTTAACACAACACGAAAAATAGGCAATGGAACAATCTTAATATAAACACACAATATCGAACCTATGAAATTGGTCTTTTTAGTGTGAGCGAGAGGGATAGAGCTCGAGAATGTATTTATGTGTCGCTGTGCAATATATACACACACATCAATACAGATGCATGCAAGAGGCATGTGTGCATGTATTACATCCAAAATAATGAAGCCACATTGCCACTGTCAACATCACCAGCACGAGAACAACATTCACACATTCATATACGATTCTCTTTTTTCGTAGACATGTTGTTGTTATTGGATAAAATTCTTAGTGGTACAGCAATGCTAAAGTTGATCGGTAGAATCATTCATTCTAATGAAATCTTACCAAGAGTAGGAAGAATGGAAGTTGGCATAAAAAATGGATTTTCTTCAAAATGCTTCAAATCAAACGATTTTCCTTTGAAAACGTTTGTAATTTTTGAAATTCAATTGAAAATACTCCAAAAATGACGAAAATTAAAAATCCAATGGATGAGTCAGTGTTCACTGTAGCGCTCACCAGTGAATCTTTTCATTACAACAAAAACAAATATGGCCGATTGACAGCAAAACAAGCGCAATTCATTCATTCTATTCATTCAAATATTTTTGCTTCGATTTTTTGAGCGATTCTTCCATACTGTCATTTATGAGTAATTTTTAACTTTTGCCAATGGAACCTATCTTCATAACGTATAGATCAAAATCAAATTGGAATATTCTGGTAATTGTCCTCTCCGAATTCAATCGAAACATCAAGAAGTTTACGAATGAACTTTTTGAGTACGTTTAATACTGTATTTGATTCGAGGCAAAATGTACAGAATTCATTCAAATGGAAGGACTTTGATGTCTTATAAATGTTTGCGAATATAATTTATTTTCAATTACTTATATCATTCAGTTTACGGATAAAAAACTATTTTCGACTTAAAATATGCAAAAAATGTTCAAAATGTTTGAAAAAATTTCAATGAATTGATGTGGTTTGTGTCACAGATAAAAGTGTGAATTTTACACTGTCTCGGCTTAAAAGCACCTTTTCAAAAGGACCTTTTCAGATGAACTTAAAAAGTTTCTTATAAGAATCTCATTCAAAGCTAAATTGCAGCAAAAGTACTGGAAACCAATCATAGATGGCGTGAATGAAAAAGTTCTCTGACGATAGTGGCTTTTCAATTCAAACGAATGAGACGCAGGTGTTATAACTTCGACCTATCCTTTTATGGATAAAATAGAAGAATAGAAGAAGATGTTGTGCGTCAAATCAATGCGTGTGAAAAATCATATTCGCATCTAATAATCTTCAATCAAAATGTGGATTTTGACTTTGCACAAATAAATCAATGTTCGACATTCGAAATGTATGAGCTGTCAAAAGTCTTACGCACGATAATAACTGGGTACCATGATGAACAAATCGAGAGAAAAAAAAAGTTGAATCATTGGTGGTGTTCGATCAATTTTTCAATTTGCTATATTTTCAGTGCATGAATCACCTGATACCCAGAAAATGTGTCAGTTTTGCTTTTATTTTGGCTGTCAAATCAGCATCTCGCATCACACAAAAAACACAACAATTCAATCGACGGAAATCACAAAATATTCATGCATCAAATCATATTGGCTTAGCTGTTAAGATTGGTAGAGGCGAGGTAAGCGCACGCCAGAAGAAATATGAAAGATTATCATCATTTTGTTGTGCCAAATTTGTTTCCATCCATTATCTCAGCGAAATATAGAAAAGGTTAAAATCAAGAATGGAAAAGTCAACATAGGGAAAAAAATGAACTCGAGCAAACCGTTGTTGGAACAGATTTCTTTTCGGGTGGGTTAAGATTTATTCTCTCTTAGTACAAATATGAAATGTCATTTGTATTGCGCGTTTTTTTTCTCATACGCATCGTCAATATGACAGCTAGAAACTCTTGTGCGCGCATACATTTTTTAATATAAACGCATCTGTGGCAAAATGATAAAAGCATCAAGCAATTTTCTCCAAAAAAATATAATGATTTTCTTGTTTTTTCTATTCTTTACAAAGCGAAAAAGAGTTTTTTTTTCTACAATTTGGCTTACGGCGATTGTGACAAAAATGTGTGTTTGCAAAACTCCAATAAAATCTTTTGTTTGCAAAGGTGATGCTTACGATTCTAAAGTGCAAACAATCGTGGCAAGCCAAAGACAAAAATGGGCACGACAAATTTTGTAGCCAGCACAAGTTATGATGGTAAGAATAAAATGGTTGTTTCTAAACTATCTAAGAACTAACCGCGGAAAATCAAAACGTGAACGAAAAACGAAAAAATAACGCTGAAGCTAATATCGTAATTTCTGTAACGAGAGACGTGTCTCGGCCGTCGCTAAGCGGATATGCTCACAGATGCATCCAACATTTTACGCGACAATATAGCTTCACTGAAGCATGGAAAACCCATTTTAAAAACCACATGCACTTTTTTCCCTACGAACTTTGTGTGCAACGGTAAAAGACGAGCTTCAAACTTGTAGCGAAGAATGAGATAAAAAAAAACACAAAGTATTTCACTACAAGATTTGAAAATGTGAATAAGGAAAAAAGAATGCATAGAAACGCCGAAAGAAAAATACGTTGCACACTGAAGAAATTGGCAATGCTTAGCGGTTGTTTTGTGTGTTGAATCGGATCGTGGTGGCAATTTAGACGGTTGTGCGTCTCGTCTGTGCCACAAAACCATGACATTCATTTATTTTCGTTCGTTGAATTCTTCGCTGTTTGCACTCTCTCTATAATTCAAAAAGATAGATATATCATTAGACTTTGTTACAAGCGACAACGACAACGACTAAGGGAGATTGGCATGCGGTGTGTGTGTGAGAGAGAGAGAGCGTACAACGAGTAAAAACAATCAAATAAACAGTATTTAAGCACATATCACAAAGTAGCTGCTGCAACATGAAATTTTGTCATTCGATAATTCTTCATGCGTTTTTTTCGTTTCTTGAAAAAAGAAAACGGTGCAAAAGTGAGAGAAAAACAATCCATGTTCACTAGTAACGACCCTCAATTGCAGTCTTTGTGTGGATGAATTGTATGTAACTGGCTTTAGCAATAACAAGGAATATAAAAAGGGACGTCGAAACGAATAACAAATTTTCGCCGAACTTTTTTCTTCATCCTCCCCCAGAAGATGGAGCATAATAGATGAAGAAAGAGCTTACGATTTCAAAATATGCTTTTGAATATATTGTAATTTATGCGGTTTAACGATGAGATATGTCTGCCGAAAATAAAGCGTATGAATAAAGAAAAAGGTTACTTTGCTTATGTGCAGAATGTGTCATATTTATTGTAATTTATGATAGATGAAAAGGTGCTTGAATTGTATGCAAATGCTGAAAACCGACATGTATGAATATGAAAATGGCCAAAACTAAGTATATTATACATATGGAGTGTGTGTGTGTGTGTGCATCTAAGGAGGGAAACATGTGTGCTGAACCGAGGCCAAATAAGGTGATAATACGCTCTTGAAAATACCGGGTTATATTGGCTTTATTTCACCATTAAAACGATTGTGTCATAAAAAGATCTGAATGGAATTTACGATGCGAACTCTATTTCATGTATGATACTTTCTTCGATGGCATGTGCTCGGAATTTTTCAAATTGAACTCGGAAAATGCGTTGGAATGTCTTTTTCGTTTATTTATATAAAATATAGTTTTTCGTCGTATGGAATATTCGTGGTGGCGAAAACTCAATCTTAAAGAACTTATAAAGAACATTTTCTTGGGGTCGTTTATATTTTGAATTATGGCCAAACAAAATGAAATGACAACACTTTAATGTTTGATATTAATCCGATTCAAAGTGCCAAAATTGACTTCATCTCATAAAGAAAGACCGATATTTAAAGTGGGATTTCCTTGACTGCTACTTGTCATCAATCATTGCACACACACACAATTACATTAACTCAACTTCGATGAAAAGAACGAAACCAAACAAAAAAAAATGAAATAAACTTCGATTCAAATGGCAAAATAATGCGATATATGCTATATATTCAAAATTCAGTGCAAACAATCAAATAAAAATGAAAGTAACAAACATAAAAATGCAAATGGTTGTCTACAGAGAGAAGAGCATGATGGAGTGTAGTAGATACCAGTGATGGTTTTTTCCTATCTGAATAGCGCTAGCTATTCGCAGCGCCTGTACAGCATTGCTGCCCAGATGCTGAATCGTAGCGGTTGCCGCACGCGCAACACACTTCGTTTGTACCACACAGAGCATATACGTTCGCGTTCATTCTCTGTTCGACATGCGTTTGTTACTGACTATGGTATTAGTGTATCATACTCTGTGAGCTCACTGGTTACTTAGACTATATGACAATATGTTGTGTGGTACAAAACGCGTGCGGCAACCGCTTCGATTCAGCATCTGGGCAGCAATGCTGTTCAAACGCTGCGAATAGCTAGCGCTATTCAGATAGGAAAAAACCATCACTGGTAGATACAGAGCTCCACGTTGTTTGCATCGAAACACAAAAGACGAATCAACAAAATATAAATTTCAAACGGAACATAAATATTTTATGATAATATATTG